GAATACACGTCTTTCATAAAGTATGGAAGTAAGATGAAGATGGAATTCCCCATCTGCTCCAATGATACTGCTCAGGTAGGATAGGAGTTGTCACCCTATAACACCAAATATATTGATGCCACACTTTTTACTAAATGTACAATATCACACTCAACTTTTTTACATTCAAAAAATGAAACCTTGATTGGTGTGATTAAAATAAAAATAGGAAGTAGACCTCTCTGAGTGTGAAATGGAAATGCAGCAAATGGGTGAAATGTAAGAAATTCTTATACGAGAATGTGAAGTGTGAATCTGAACAAAACAGAAGCCGAAACGATAACATGAAAATTGAAATCTAACAGAAATGTTGGATTAGGACAACTTTGCTCCTGCAAGGACAACAAATAAAAAAGGCAATCCAAACTGTCAGCAAACTGCAAAATATTCACATTCATCAGTTAAAGAGTGTTAAATGTAATTGTATTAAGGAGCAAGCAACACTGTTTGCAATAGTCATAGTCAATGAGAAAAGCCAACGTTTGCTGCACGGTAAATTATCCCCAATTACATTTAGCAGAGTGGCTCCCTAATTATACATACAAACAAAATAACGCACAGCAACCCTAAAGTAATTCAATCATTTCCTTTGCACATTACTATCATTCTGGCCCAAGAAGCAGCCAAGTTTCCTTTTAACATTTATGATTCAGTTTCACTCAGACAATGAAAAATTCACTTTGTGAAAATTTTATTTTGTTGAATCTCTATCACACTAAAACACTAAGGCTATTAAACCTGCCTTTCTCAATTAAGGAAACCTGGACTACAATTCCCATACTCTTCTGTAATATAAAACATTTGCTTGCACCAATTGGGGAAGGCTAGTTTAAATAATTGAAAAGACTTATCTTTTTTTTTTTCAAGAAAGAACAAAGCAAATCTTTATTCTCCTCATTACAGTTCTAAACTAAGTATATACTTGAAGAGTGATTGAAGCCCTATTTATAACTCATTTGGAAGAAGGAGGGAGGGGGAAATTGTGGCTTTTTAGATGTTGCTAACCTACAATTCCTAGCAGTGCCTGCCAGCATGACGAATGCTGAAGAAGGCTGGAAGTTGTAGCTGAACAAAATCTGGAGGGCCACATGTTGCAAACCTATCTTGCAAATTGACTTGACATCATTAGGAAAATCTTTGCACTTGAAAATCCAGGTGTTCTCCATGCACATACAATAGATACCTGGAAATGGTGTATATACATGGATGCAAAACTTTGATCACGCAAACTACAAAAGAGAGCAAGATAGGTAATGTTTTTCACCTATTGCTCTACATTTGGAGTACATAGGTAACCGGTACTACTAAAGGCAGAAAACAGAACCAGCAACTCTTACAATCAACCATAAGTCAAATGTACACTTTTGTCCAATTTGCCAACGCAGAACTTGCAAAATCTGACCACTCTGAGCCTATTACTACACCCTGCTCTGCAACAGTTAGGAATCTCAGCTACTAGAAACAAAAGAGTCCCAGGTTCAAATGTCACCTTGGATGTTAACTCAACAAAGGAGACTTAGCAGAATTCCTATTCTCAGATCCCCACCATAAAACAACAATGATCACAGCCTGCCTTTATTGCTTTAAGGACTCTTTATTTGGATGTAAGGAACTTTGGTGCGGTTACGTCTCAGCAGGTGGCCACAGACCTTTCCGTTTAGAAACAAAGCTTGGGCATGCCAATCTGGATAGGAGGGCACTAAGACATCCCAGAACTGTGGATAAAGAAGTAAAAAGTAATAATAAAGATCCTGAAAGGAAGCTGGAGCACACATCACTTTGCTATTATTGCCACAGACACCCTTTGCACGGTGTGTTCATGTAATAATTGAACTCAAAGGGCACATTTGCCTTTGCCATGTTAACCATGACAATCAACACTCCATGTATCATATTTCCAGCTATGAAATACTGCTTCATTTGTATCAGTCGTTCACACATTTAGTGACATTTGCCAAAATACAGACCAGGATAATGATTCCTTCCAGTTGTCAAATTCATTTCTAATTTTCTTTTTTTTAAAAAAGGCTATTTCATTAAAAAGAGCTGTTCTCCAAAAGCACATATACTTGGGAATGGGTTTTCTGAAGACAAAATGCAACTTTGAAACAGATGTTAGAAGCTTTCAAGAGCCCTGCTGGAGCTAAATCAAGTTCTAATACAAAGAAAAGCGGTGGCATTCTTTAACAAAAGCAGCAGCCCTCAGAAAAATAAAATACCTTTTTTATAGCAGTTTTTCTCTTCGTTTTCTCTCATCCTGCAAGCAGAACGCAATATGCATCTTGCCAAACTGACTGTATTAGCAGAAGAATCTAATTGTCTCCTGAAAGTGGAACACTTATGAATAAAGGTATTTGGGCAGAGATAATGTTCTTTCCAAGAATGATGGAGGATAAATTTGAATATTAAAAGGATTCAGATCTTTTTGGTTTGGTGGTTTTTTGTTTGGTTTTTTTGCAAGCCTTCACAAGCAATCTTAAGATCTCCTCTTTATCAAGGGATTTTATCTCCTATTCCAAAACTGGACTCCCCTTCCCCACTTTTTAATTAGGAAAGGCCATCCTGATCTCCACCCACATCACCAGGAATTCAGGGAGGGGAATTCCCTTTGCCAGCGCAGCAATTAGAGAGGGGGAATAGCTCTCAGGCAAGGCCCCATTAACTGGCCTACTTATCCTAGAAGACTTACACAAAGAATTATTTCACACCACTCACAGTCTCCACAACTTTGTCATAGCAGATATATATTTGCCACTCTTGGCTAATCATAAATTTCTGGTCTGAACATGTTTTGGTGCTTAGCCCTGGCTCCTGCCCACAAGACAATTTACCTCAGGGAAAGGAAGGGTTGTTCCCACAACCCTGCTGCCTCTCTCTGCACCATGTATATATATATAATCTGCAAAGCCCAGTCCAGTTGAAAACTGACCTCTTCTTTGAGGCTCCCGTAACAGAGACAGGACCCAGAGGTTGAGGAATCACAAAAAACACAAAGCAGCAAAAAGGGTCAGCAAGAACAAAAAGAAATGATTCTGTGGAAGTGCGGGGGGGGGGGGGGGGGAGAGGTAAGAAAGGGAAAATGATTTTTAAAAAAATAAAAAAAAATTTTTTTTTAATTGATTTCTCTTTTTAACATTCATTTGCTCTTCTTCTTTTCTGAGAAAGAAAAAAGAAAGCTGTTACTCTTCAGGAAGTTTTATTACACCGCAAACTTCACCTGCCTATCCCAAAGGATCTGTGGCGCTGCAGAGGAGAATAAGCATTACTAATCTATTCTCCTGGATATCACTACAGAACCAAACAAAAGTTGTCCCTCGAGGCAAAATATTGTTCATAGTCAGACTTCAGCAGCATAATCTATAAAGGTTCTCATTTAGAGTTTTGCAGTAAAATTATCAGCCTATCTTACCTGTGCATTCTCATATGCACACACACACACACACACACACCCTGCTCACTCACTATAGCCTTTCAGAGAGCTAAAGTGATTCCAAAGGGCAGTGAGTGGCGAATGAAACGATAGAAATGGTCCCAAGAAAAATGAGGTGATAAAAATGGCCCAAAGAAAGTGCGGCCATTCTTTTACAAAACACAAAGACCATTTTTCAGCCGAAGCCCGCGATGTTGCAGTAATCCTTACGAAAAGCACAGTATGCCATTATTCCTTCTTTTCCATGTGTAGAGATTGTCCAGGTGTCTCGCCCAAATATCCCCACGATCTAGGTACAACTACAATCTAGGAGTTCTACCTTCATAGCTCATTTGCTTTACAGTGAATCTAAGATATTCTCTTTCATTGCTTGAAGACGTCTGTGCCAGATTGTGATTTGACAAATCGACAACTGTACAAAAGCTTGCAAGTGTTCAAGTTTAACTTGTTGCACCACAAGCTTCCAAATGGCATTGGAACTGCAGCACTAAAGGGACTTAATCATCAATTTTTTTAATGATAAATATTACTTTTTTGGACTAAAATGTTTTAGGAAGATTACACACACGTACAAGGAAAGCAATAAGCCTCCATAGACCTTCCCTCAGAATCCAATTAAATAGCAGTCGTTCACAAAAAATGCTGCAATATTCCTTTGCACTAGCCATGCATTCAATATAATGGTCAGTGAAAGCTGTAGTACGTAACAAATTGATTAAGAACAAGAATCAATACAAGTTTCAGCCACAACCTTGAATAACTTTATTTTCCAACACTGGAAATTTCACAAATGCAATTTTACTTAAAGCAATCATTGCTAATTTTTTACAACAAAAACCAGCCTATTCCTAATTTTCGACAATGGGGGGGGGGGGGAAATCTCTCAACTAGCATATAAGAACTTCTGAACCACTCCTTCATTCAAAAACTGAATTATTCACCTATGCTGACTTAGAATTCTCCTATGCAAAATAATCACCCAATAATTTACAACCTCCCCCAAAGCTATAAAATTATTTCTACATTACATTACCCTGGAATATCATCCAATCAGGGAACATATGGCATTTAAATTATCTTTGAAACTGACACCAAATCATGAAGTTGGAAAGAGAAACCATATCTTTTTTTTTTCAAATGTAGGTTAAGTTGATGTTGTTATAAGCCTCAAATATCCAACATCCAAGTCCTAAACTAAGACATCACATCCATGATCACATCACTATTTAGCTTAAATGTGCACAACAAAACACTTTTTAACAAAGGCAACTATTTCCAACATATATGACATTTACCCTGTGTCACTGACAATCAAAGCATTCTGTCAAAGCCAATTCATGCCACTTGTTCTTCTTGCCGTTTACAATTCCTGCTTTATCTGATATTCAGCTACAGATACTGCACAACGGCACAATTCTGTTGCTGAGCAATCTTCCTTAACTTTTTTTTTTTATCAGCACCTCATTCCGCCCACCCCATCCCCCCAACTGCATCAGCACCCCCAAAGGCTGGGTAATTGATTGTCTCATACCTGCAGTTCGGAGGTGGATCCAGGGTTATTTCAGCTAGCTCCTTCTGAATTCTGTTGGCAAAATGAGAACAGGCACAAAGCATTTGAGACAGTTGAATAAATCAGGGAATTACACTGCCCTCTACCACCATGCAGTTAAATGCAAGATTGGTTTTGCCTTCTGTAATGCTAACATGGCTGCTTCCTCTTTGTTCTCACAGGCACAACCCAAATCCCAGGACAGAGAAACTTTACAGCTTTTTCCTGCTCTGTTATGGTAAACAGAGAGAGCATTTACACCCCAGCCTGGCAGGAATCCCTTCAGAGATCTCTGAAAAGTGAGTCTTAGGAGTTTACCCCATTCTTTATCAAGGATTTTTTTTAATTAAAAAAAATCTTATATGCAAATGAGACCAGCAAGGAAGGCAAGGGGAGGGAAAGAGGAAATACAAGCAGATTTCAGAAGAATTTTTTACCAATAACCGAAGGAGTTACAGCCAAAAACCAATTACATAGTAAATATTTTTGGCTGGATTTTATAGCTACTTCAGACAGTAATTTTTAGAATTTCAATTCACTTCATAACTATGCACTCAAGTGATCACAGCAAAATCTGATAACTTTAGATGCATGTTTCCCCTTACCTTTCTTTCCTCTTTCCCAATATTTGTATTGAAAATTTGTTAAGTGACCCTGTTCAATAAAACACATACTGATATTATCAGTGATGGATAATACCAGCCCTGGACAAAATGTGTCAGTAACTAAAAAAAATTAATAGGTTTTTATTACAGTTTAACAAAAAAGGTATCAAAAGGATGAAGGGTCTGTAATTTATTCCCAAAACAAAATATTTTAGGGGAAGCAAGTATTGAAGATTTTAGAAGTTCAGACAATTTATGCTTTGCTGATAGAAAATGCATTAAGATATAGGTTAAATTAGATACAGTTTAAATACTTGAACTTGTGCTCTACAAGAATGTACACAAGCTATGGAACTAAAAAGTGGGGATAACATTTCAAAACACCAAATAACATATTAGGAAAACATTCAGTATCATTTTCTCCACAACAAACATATTGTACAAATTATTTTGTGACAGCAGCTGGCAAGTTACTTTATATGCATTAGAAGTTGTTTTTTAAAAAAGATGAATGTCCTGTTTTTTAAAAGATTTATCATAACTATTTTATTTTCAATTGGGCTCAATTTAGTACATTATTTTAAATGAGAAATTGGTAAAAGCTAATATTGTTCTCACATAATTCGTGCAAAGCTTGAAGTACAATTAAACATTTCAAGATTCCTAATGAAACTCTACTTTACGATAGCAATTTTTACCCATAAACATTTTGGTCCACTTAATTGTTCAAACTACTACAAAGTTTAACAAAAATGGCTTGCACTTTTAGACGTCTGATACCACTTGACAGATAGAGTACCAGATATTGTAATGTGGATTCCTAGGTGAAACAGAGCTTTAAGAAAAGCGATCAGTTACCCCCAAAGAGGCAAGATTCAAGGTATTTCAAGCTTGCCCAACTCAAATGGTTATTAAAGAAAATTAAAAGCAGGGTGCTTCTTGAAAGCAAAGCTGTGAAAAACTCTACATGCAGATAGTGATATTGTTCACTTAGGGACAACCTGTAAAAGGTTCTCAAGTTTTTGAAACTTCACAGATTAAAGGAAAATCAATAGCTTGCTGGACCACAAAGGTAGGAGATAGGCAAGTTAACAGCCCTTCTTGCATTTCAATTACCTACAAAACACAAAACAAAATACCCTCACGCCATCCATGTTGACCTGCATGGATGCTCTAAAAGAAACAACCCCCACGAAATTCATATAAGTTGCAAAACATCATTTTTTCAGAGCATGCAAAAAAAAAAACTCAATTGTAAATAAAACAGCCAATGAAAGGGTCATTATTTCAAAGTGCTCCTCCCTTGCCAAACAGCAATAAAAGGTGGGAATCTAAAAATGGGCCTCCTTGCCTGAATGAATCAAACAAGGTGTCACTTGTTGAAAAATACACATGGGCCAAGTGGACCAAACCAGAGCCCAGCAGGTGGCAAGACGACCCCCTTCACAGAGTGGATTTCAACCCACATCATCACATGTGTTTTTCATAACAGTGTAATTCTCAGATTAAGAACCTGCCTACCCAACCCATCCATCTTCTCCATCTTCAACCTGGCAAATGAGTTGGGTGAAGGGATCCCAAAGGGATCTGAGCAAGAGGCCCTGCAGAAACTAAACTCTAACTTTAAAGCCATCTTTTATTACAGGCCTTTTCATCAAAGAGTAAAGTTTACCCCTTTAGATTGAGTGCCTTCTCATCAAGCTTCTCTCCAGCTCCCTTTCCCCTAAAGAGGGAGGAAAGCACATTTCAGATATTTGGAGTTGTTACCTTTTAGCACTAGTAGATAGCTTAGCAGTAGTTTTGCTGGAGAGTTTGGTATTTTTCTTCTGCTGTGTTGCAGAAGGTTTTCTTTCTTCCTGTTCCTCAGGCTCAGGCGCTGGTGGGTCCCTCTGATCTGCGTCTGAACTACCACTGCTGGTACTTGGGCTTTCATCATCTGACCTTTGTCTATCACTGGACATCTTGGGAACCGTTGGGGGAAGGAGCAAAAGGAAAGGAATGGGACAAAAGAATATCAGTTAACTAAGTGGAGTGCAATCCACTCAATCAGAGTGGAATTACTCCAGACCCCCTTACAACTCAATGGTTGAACAATTCTTTTAAAAGTTTCAATTTCATGTTATAGAGCAACAGTTACCATGAGGAAGGAAGGAAGGAAGGAAGGATCTCTTTTTAAATATATATATTCTCTTTTCACATTTCATTTTTACAGGCTCAGTTCTACAATTCTTCAGATAGTATATCAATCATTTAATTTTTAAAGGTGTGAGGCAAATTTCGCAAAGTGTTCCAAGCATAAGCATTAATAACTCATGACAAGCTGTAAACATTACCCTTTTTAAAAAAAAAACCTCACAAATGCCCTGTAAATATTTACACTGGACCAGAAGGAGTGAAGTCAACCATATTCTCCTCCCCCCCCCCCAATATATTGCCAATCACAATACTTGAGCTGTTATACAAACGGGGAGGCCCAAACCAAACCAATAAATGACCCCACTCCCTCTTGTCTCCTTGTAATTTAAATAGCTGGAAAGGATTTGCTATTTCAGACTCCAATGTTTTTTTTCTCTCAGTCAGAAATCAGCCAGCTCGGGTTCTGTTGGCACAGCCATCAACAAGAATTACATTTGGTCACTACAGAGTAGGCTGGAAATGGGGGGGGGGGGGGGGGGGGGGGGGGAAGGGAGAGGGAGAGAGAGAAAGGAGGAGGAAGAAGAAAAAGAAGAGACGAAGCATAATTCAAACTGCACCTTCTGGAAAGCTTTCAACGCCACCGAGTCTTGATCAGTTTCTACAAAACAGACCGACATATTTTTTTTTCCTGCCCCCTCTTTTTAAAATAAAAATAAAAATAAAAATCCCGGAAAGATGAAATTGGGGGGTGGTTAGGTATTTGTATTGTATATTTTTTTAAAAAAAAATGAAAAAGGTTGGTTGGTCCTCGTCAAAAAAAAAAAAAAATTGCAGCAGCAGGGCAGAAACTGAGGCTTTGCCCTCGTTCTCGCTCTCTTTCTCTCCCTCGCACACACACACACAGACACACATACACAGCCGTCGTCGTCGTCGTCGTCGCCGTTTCCCCCCCCCTCGACGCCCCCTCCTTCTCCTCCTCCTCCTCCTCCCCCTCCCCTCCTCCTCCTCTTGGCTCTGTAGGGAGAGTCGAGCTCCCAGCCAGGAGGTATGGAGAGGCTGTTATGGTAGGAAGCTTTCCACCACGACCAGTGTGGTGTATGCGCACCAAGTGAGGCGTGAACTCAGTCCGGTTCCTCTGGCTCGCCTGACCACCGCCAGGCAGCGAGCGCTGAAAACAAGAACAAAGCTCCCTCTACCAATCTCTCTCTTTCGCTCGCTCGCTCTCTCTT